GCCTGCTGTGTTCATCCAGCCCTGTACCTTGTTGTCTCGGATTCTCCAGCATCTGCAGTTCCTACTATCTCTAACTCAAAGAATGAGTTGAGGATGGACTTGTAGCTGCAGAAAATCTTCACTGACTGGAAGAGAGAGCACAGTGAGAACATCAGGAAATTTAGGACAAATAATAACAGTGGACAGTTCCTGTAGTTGTTTGTGTAGTCAGCTGGCAGAGAGAATAACAAAACTTTCGAGAAGATTGAGCTACAGAGAAGGTAGTTAAAGGGGACCGATTTAAATGTGACGTTAAATGCAATGCTGCTAGGTAATATCCAAAATACAGTTAAAATGAGTGAAAACTGAATTTTATAAAAGAGGAAACCTTTAAAATAACCACTATTTATATATTTTTTAAAAAGTCTTACATTTGCACCCACCTCGTCAACCTTTCTCACAATAAATTCCTCAGTCCGTTTTCATGAAAATTGTCCATGTAAATGGTCATACTGTAATCACACCTTCCTACGAGAGGTGGCGCTGTCAAGCTTCCCTTTAACATTTTCAAATACCTGACCTTGTCACTGTCTGCAAACTTATCCAGACTGGTTTCTGCTACACTCCCTAGAACTGAATCCAGCTTATCACGAGGTTTTCAGTGGAAATCACAAACACGACCACGACACAGAAGCAACACTTCATGTAAACCATCAGAAAAAAGACAAAAATTACAAGCTGGTGAAAAAACCCTACAGATATTGACAGAATGAATAGATGGTGAAAGTGGAAATTTGTACAAGTGTCCCACAGCACAAATAGGTTAATACAGCAAAAGGCTTTATTAGATTAACATACCTGAGGAAAGGGACTTCAATGGGTGAACATATAAAATGGAATGACTGCAATTTGTTAATGTACCAGCGGGCAGGACTCTGATGGACATTGTGACTCACTACAGGTTTACAGCACCACCTGTTCGCCAATAGAGGCAGCACAGGATTCTCAATTTCAGAAATACACTCTGCACCACAGGGTTCCTCTACTCAATCCCCACACTCACTTTCCTCCTCACAGCTTCCTGCAAAGCTGAACCTTTCCAGTCACCCTCCAGTGTTTCATCCCAGCGGGCAGCTCACACAAGTCTACACAGTGAGGACAGTGGACGATGTAGGACATCACAGTTCAGTCTGATCCTCCCCTCAGTCATATTTCAAAAGGCAACAGGTTGGATGACAGGAAAGCGACTTGAAGCCAGTGTTGTCCCTTCCAAGGTGGGAATAACAGCTTCAGCTCAGATAGAATCTAGTTCCTTTCTCCAATCTGTGGGGTTCAGCGAGTTTCTAACTCTGGCCAGTCTGGGTCCCCACTCAGTACAGCAAAGATAACGGCCACATTGGAGCTGAAGGCACCCAATATTTGCTGAAGGCCCAAGGTTAGGTCTGTATAGGAAAACTTGGCCTGTGAAATCCACATCAAGTTACGTTACATAAACCCTGTCCTGAATGGAGACTAG